TTGGAGTATAGTTTTTCATGGTACTCTGTTATGATCCTTTTTATTTCAGTTGAATCTGTTGTAATACCCCTGTTTCATTTCTTATTTGGGTTATTTGCGTCCTCACTTGTTTTTCTTTTGTCAGTTTGGCCACTGGTTTGTCAATTTCGTTGATCCTTTCCACGAACCAGCTTTTGGTCTTGATTCTTTCTATTCTCTATTTCATTTATTTTTGATGTGATCTTTATTATTTCATTTCTTCTGGTGGTTGTGGACTTCTATTGCTGTTCTCTGTGTAGCTAATGTTTTGATTTTGTCCCTTCTGTTTGGATGTGTGCATCTGTCGCTATAAATTGACCTCTGAACACTGCGTTTGGTGTGTCCCATAGGTTTTGGTTTGATGGGTTTTCATTCTCGTTTGATTCTAGGAATTTTTTTATTCCATCTTTGATTTCTTCTGTTACGCAGTGGTTTTTCAGCAGGGTGTTAATTCAGTTTCCATATATTTAATTTTTTTTTCCTTGCTGTTCCTGTTGTTAATTAGTACTTTGATGGCATTATCTTCATGTTTTGGATTTTTTTGAGGGTTGCTCTGTGGCCTAAAATGTGGTCTGTTTTGGAGAATGTGCCATGTGCTTTGGAAAAGAATGTATCCTTTGCTGCTGTTGGGTGGAGTGTTCTGTATTTGTCTCTGAGGTCAGGTTGGTTGATTGTGGCCTTTAGATCTTCTGTATCTTTATTGAGTTTCTTTCTAGATGTTCTGTCCTTTACTGATAGTGGTATGTTGAAGTCTCCTACTATTGTGCAACTATCAATTTCTCTTTTCAGTGCTGTTAGAGTTTGTTTTATGTATTTTTGAGCCCTGTCATTGGGTGTGTAAATATTTATTATGGTTATATCTTCATGGTGAATTGTCCCTTGAATCATTATATAATGCCCTTCTTTGTCTTTTATGGCGGATTTTGTTTTAAAGTCTGTTTTATCTGAGATTAATATTGCTAGTCCTGCTCTTTTGTGGTTGCTGTTTGCTTGATATATTTTTTCCATCCTTTGATTTTTAATAAATTTATGTTTTTGTTTCTAAGGTGTGTCTCTTTTAGACAGCATATTGATGGGTCCTGTTTTTTTAATCTGTTATATCACTCTCTGTCTCTTTATGGGTGTATTTAAGCCATTCAGTGTGATTATTGATAGGTGTGAGCTTATTGCTGTCATTTTGTAGTGCTTTCTTTTGTGATGCTGATGTTTTCTTTGTTCCTCTTACTCTTCTGTGCTGAATTACTCTTGTTAGTTTATTTTTTTCATTTCTTTTGTTTTTGTAGACTTTGTGTTTACTGAGACTTTGTTTTTCTTCTTTATTTTGATGAGTAGGTTTGTTGACTTTCTTTGTGCTTACCTTGAAATTTACTCCTATCTTCCTAAGTTTAAACCAGTCTTTCATTGCTTGAATAATGCCTTGACTTCCTCTCCATTTGAAAGTTCTATACCTATACCATCTATTCTCTCTTTTATTGTTCTGATGTTGTTGTCATTTACAGATTGACCTCTCTGGTTCCCTGTTGTAAATTTTTTAGTCTTGTTTTATCCTTGAGAGTTCATTATCTAGGTTGGTATCTGGGTGATGCTGTCTTATGTGTTAGATTCAGGTTTTTGTTTCATGCTGTTGTTTCTCTAACTGAAGGACTCCTTTTAATAATTCTTGTAAATCTGGTTTAGTTTTTACGTATTCTGTTAATTTGTTTATTTGGAAATGTCCTAATTTTTCCATCATATTTAAGAGTTCTGTGGGATATATTATTCTTGGTGGGCAGTTTTTTTTCTTTCAAGATTTTATATATGTCATTCCACTGCCTTCTTGTCTGCGTGGTTTCTGCTGAGTAATCAGGGCTTAGTCTTATTGTTTCCTTTTGTATATGACTTTTTTTCTCCAGCTGCTGTCAGGTTCTTTCTTTGTGTTTCGTTTTAGTGAGTGTGATTATGATACGTCTTAGTGTGTTTCTTTAAGGGTCTATCTTATATGGTGTTCACTGAGCTTCTTGAATAGTCGATTTTTTGTCTTTCATGGTATTAGGGAAGTTTTCTGTCAGCAGATCTTCAGTGATCCTCTCTGTGTTTTCTGTTTTCTCCCCCTGTTCTGGAATTCTGATCACATGCAAATTTTTGGCTTTTGATTGTATTCCACATCGTCCTCAGGGTTTCTTCATTTTTCTTCATTCTTTTCTCTGATTTTTCCTCAAAGTGATATCTAACAATTTGTCTTCAATTTTGTGGATCCTGTCTTCTATTGTTTCAAATTTGCTCCTAAAACCTCATTTTGCACTGTCCAGTTCTGAAATCTTGTTGTTTATCTTTTGGATATCTAATTGTTGTTTTAATATGATTTGTAGTTGTAAATTTATTTTGATATTTTGTTTCTGTATTATTTTCCTGATTTATTCTATTGTCTATATTTTCCATGATTTTGTCTATTTTGTCCTTAACTTTGTCTACATTTTCTTTCATCTGTTGGAGAATTCTGAGTATTAGAGTTCTCAATTCCGTATCAGGCAGTTCCAGTGCCTTTTCTTCTAGCAGTTCATGTAGTGTTTTATTTTGGTCACTTTCTGGAGCCGCCCTCTCCTGTTTTCTTATGTTTTGATATTGTCTGAGCGGTGTGGCTCCACCTATCAAGAAGCAGCAAGGGTGGCGCACAGTGGTAGGTGGGTGGGAGAGACGAAAGGGGAAATTGGAGAAACCAACAATCAAGCAAAAGAATAAAAACAGCAACAACAAAAATATGTGGGTGCACTGACCACTGGTGTCGGGGCGGAATTGGGGTGGCGGCGGGCTGATATCTCTCTGAGTGACACGTCATGGCCTGTCAGGAAGGGCCGGAGGCAGCGAAGGGCCTAGGTGGGAGGGAGAAGGAGGGGGAATGATAAAGAAAAATATAAAATATGGCGCTGAGGGAGCTGGCTTGTTAGGTGGTGCGGACTCAGGGTGAGGCTGCGTGCCAGAGGCTCTCCGGCCAAGTGGCACAGCACAGCCCACCAAGAAGTTGGGGGTGGCACGGGGCTAGGTGGGTGGGAGAGAGGAAAGGAATGAAAGGAGAGAAGAGAAACAATAACAAAAACCACCAAAAAGCAATAAATAAATAAAATGGCACTGAGGGAACTGGTCGGTGACAGTGGTGCAGACCCAAGGAGGCCTCGTACAGTGACTGTCCAACCGAGCTGTGAAGCACAGCCACTCCAGAAGGGGCAGGGGTGGTGCACAAGACTGGGTGGGCAAGAGGAAGGAAAGGAAGTAAAGGAGAGAGAAGAAACAGAAAAAAAAAAAGAACAAAGCAAACAAACCAAAAAATCACAGCCCATCAAGAAGGGGAGAGGATGGCACATGGGGCTAGCTGGGTGGGAGAAAGAAAGGAAGGGAGAGACAGAAACAACACAAAAGGTTGAAAAGTATATCAAAAAACAAATAAAAAACAAACAAAAAAAAAAAAAAAGAACAACAACAAAAAAAATCACAGCCCATCAAGAAGGGGAGGGGATGGCACATGGAGCTAGCTGGCTGAAAAAAAAGGAAGGAGAGAAAAGCAACAAAAAAAATTGCAAAAAATATATTTAAAAAATCTGAAAAAACAAAGCAGACAAACCAATCACAGCCTGTCAAGAAGGGGAGGGGATGGCAGCAGGGCTAGCTGGGTGGGATAAAGAGTAGGAAGGAAGGGAGTGAGAGAAAAGCAACAAAAAAAAAAGGCCAAAAAACCCAGACTTCAAAAACAAACCAAAAAAACCACAAAAAAAAAAGAAAAAAAAAAGCAACCAGACCAAATAATCACAGCCTTTCAAGAAGGGGAGAGGATGGCACATGGGGCTAGAGAAGCAACAACAACAAAACCAAAATTAAAAAACAAGCCAAAAAAAATGGAGCTGAAGGGGCCAGCCAGTGGGGGTGGGGTGGACCCTGGCAGCGGTGAGCTAGTGTCACTCTGGCTGAGCAACTGTGGCCCATTGACATGCAGTGGAAGCCTCATAGAGGTAAGAAGGATGGGGGGTGGGAAAGCACGTATCTGCGGTTACTGGGTGCTGTGTCTCCTGCTGGGAGCTCTGTGAAATTGCCTTCCTGTACTCCCTGTCTGAAGTTCTTTGGTGGCTGTAGCCGAAGATGATGAATCCGGGCAGCAGTGAGCTGGTATCTCTCCGGCTGAGTGACCGTGGCCTGTTGATAGGTGGCAGAGGTCTTGTACAGTGGAGGAAGGGTGTGGGGTGGGAAAACATCTATCCCTGATTACCAGGTGCTCTGTCTCCTGCTGGGAGCTCTGTGAAGGTGCCTTCCCATAGTCCTTGTCTGAGTTCTTTGGCTAAAGCCCAAGATGGCAAATCTGGCCACATTAGCATTAGTTGGTATGGGACCTCCGCTCCATAGCTCTCCTCGTTCTCTTTTCTCTGTCAGTTTCTAATTCCATTCAATGCATGATCAAGTTCTTTATTCCTTCATTTGGTTCTTAGGGTTCCAGGATTGATGTTTGTATCTGTTTTACTTAGTTTTTCAGGTCTTTGCTGCAGGGGGACAGCATGGTGTTTCTGTCTGTAGTGCCATGTTGGCTGCCTGGTTACTTTTAAATATTTTTAGATTTAGTGTGGATTTAATCTTCTCGATGGTCACTTCCACTCACCCTCAGCCCCTTTGCTAGCATCCCTCCTCTGTCTTTTCTGCAGTTTTTTTTGGTCTGCCTTTGCTCTTCATAGAGCCCTGTGGATGGGGTGGAGGTGGGGCAGAAGTGCAGGGGACCATGTGGAATTGTGATATGGAGTTCATCAACTCTGGTTTTTCCACTGATCCCCTCTCACTTATTTTCATGTCTGTTTCTTCTTATGTCCTCAGATTTTACAGTCATATTTTTAAATTTCAGAGCTAATCATACTCTATTTGATTTCTAAATATTTCCATTAAAATGAAGAATTTCATTTGCTTTTTGGTTTATTTTCCTCAAAGCTTAAGAGCAAAGTAATGTCATTTACACTTGGACTTTCTTTCAGACTTTGACATTAGTCCTGAAATAAAAGAATTAAACCCACAAAAGAGCATATCTGAAGAAGTTACACTTCGTAACATAGTATATTCAATTTTTGAAGACTGGAAACTTGAAATAAGAAGTCACCAGAAAAACCAAGACAAATTTCTGAGCCAAGATGCATTCTTTAATAATAAGTTACTGCCTGAGGAGATAGACTATGGATGTAATGCACGAGGAAAAGTAGTTCATCTGAACAGAAAATCTAATGAACACATTGGAGCCTTCATGCAGAAGTCTCACTTCCTTGCACAACAAAAAATTCTTTCCAATGAAAAACCTTATAAATGTATTCAGTGTGGGAAGTTCTTCAGTGGAAAGTCAGGACTCATTGTACATCAGAGAATTCATACTGGGGAGAAGCCATACAAATGTAATGAATGTGAAAAAGCCTTTATTCAGAAGTCACAACTCACTGTACATCAGAGAACTCATACAGGAGAGAAACCCTATGAATGTAGTGAATGTGGGAAAGCTTTCATCAAGAAGTCAACACTTAGTATACATCAGAGAGCTCATACTGGAGAGAAACCATATGAATGCAGTGAATGTGGGAAAGCCTTCATCAGGCGCTCACAGCTTATTGAACATCATAGAATTCATACTGGGGAGAAACCTTATAGATGTAATGAGTGTGGTAAAGCCTTCAGCAGGAAGTCAAAACTAAATTTGCATCACAGAATTCATACTGGGGAGAAGCCCTTTGAATGTAGTGAATGTAAAAGAGCATTCATTAAGAAGTCAGATCTCATTGTACATCAAAGAATTCATACTGGGGAAAGAAGATATCAATGCAGTGAATGTGGGAAAGCCTTCATCCGGAGTTCACAGTTAATTGAACATCAGAGAATTCATACTGGAGAAAAACCCTATGAATGCAGTGAATGTAGGAAAGCATTTATCCAGAAATCACAACTCATTGTGCATCAGAGAATACATACCGGGAAGAAACCCTTTGAATGCAGTGAGTGTGGAAAAGCCTTCAGAAGGAAGTCACACCTCACTGTACATCATAGAATACATACTGGAGAAAAACCCTACAAATGCAGTGATTGTGGAAAAACTTTCAGCAAGAAATCTACTTTTATTATTCATCAGAGAATTCATACTGAACAGAAACATTTTTAGTGGAATGAGAAAATCATTTATCAAAACTTTATTACACATCACAGAATTCATATAGGCTAGAAACTTTGTAAGTGTACTAAATGTGGGAAGCCTTCAACAATAACTAGTATTATTAAGCACTAGAAAATTCATATTGAGAAACAACTTTATAAATTTAATGAATTTGAAATATCATGTGTCCAAAGAAATAACATTTTGTTTGACATCTTGGTCTAGACCTAATACTAGAGATTTTTTTAAAGTATTTTAGAAAGATTTCAGTTGTATATGATTGACATATTCACTATGAAATATGCATATTTTTAAAAGAGTAAGTAAATTAATCACAACAACAGAGTGACTAACATGTATGTAATCATTCTCCAAATGAGGTAGGGGTGGCATTCATAACCCAAATTATTTGTAGATTGGAAGCAAATATGGATATTCACACCTGCCTTGCTAAATGACACCATTTTTTCCTAAAACACAAAATGTAAAATGACAAGTCATAACTGAAAGCAGTATGGTTGTGTCCCCCCAAAAAATGTGTGTCGACCTGGCTAGTCCATGATTCCCAGTATTGTGTGATTGTCCACCATTTTGTCATCTGATGTGAATTTCCTGTGTGTTGTAAATCCTACCTCTATGGTGTTTGTGAGATGGGATTGGGGCAGTTATGTTAATGAGGAAGGACTGAATGTACAGGATTAGGTCGTGTCTTAAGTCAATCTCTGGGATATAAAAGGAAGTGAGCAGAGAGACAAGGTGACCTCATACCACCAAGAAAGCAGTGCTGGAAGCGCAGCGTGTCCTTTGGACCTGGGGTCCCTGTGTGGAGAAGCTCCTAGACCAGGGAAAGATTGACGACAAGGACCTTCCTCCAGAGCTGACAGAGAAGGCCTTACTCTGGAGCTGCCACCCTGAATTTGGACTTCTAGCCTACTAGACTGTGAGAGAATAAACTTCTGTTTGTTAAAACCACCCATTTGTGGTATTTCTGTTACAGCAGCACCAGATAACTAAGACAATGGTTTATTAACAAGAGTATGTAAAAATATTACATATAACTTATCCTCCACTTTTTCTTGATATATAATGAATGGATGATTGAGTCAAAATATTTATAAAGCTTTCTAAGTTAGTAGTAGACTTTAAAAATTTATTGTTGTATGTAAAGTATGCACAGGTAAGAAAGGCACAGAATAACAGAAGGCTGGACGAGGGCTGTAGACTGTATTGGCACATTTAGCACATGACAAAAATAGTTCCGTACAAGGAACTTCTGTTCATACTCTTGTTGGTTTTCAACTCAGTATAATATTTACACTAGAACCATTATACATAGCTTGGGTTCTTTGTATTTTTTTAACAACAAAAAGCTTTATTGGCTGTTTCTACCACACAGGCATTCTACTAAGCATTTTACATATACTTTCTTATTGAATCATTACAACAAATTTGTGAGACTGGCCTTATCCCCATTTTATAGATGAAACAAGTGAAACCTAGAGACATTCCCTGACCTACTTCAGGGCACATGGCTAGAAAGTGGAGGTTATGAGTTCAGACTAAACACTCAACCCCTACACTATACCACTGGGGACATAGAGGAGTGGATGTCACTTCAGCTCCAGGTAGAAATGAACTTGATATGATAGGGTATCAGCATCGTGGCATCATAGGGTATCCTGTCCCTATATTATGTTGAACAAATTAACAAACGTATTATAAAAGAGTTATATTCAGAATTCTTATATTTACAGCTGTTTTCTGAGATGTTTCTTTAGGGGTATCTGTTTTGCTGCCCTGTAAATTTCCTTGTGACCAGCTTATACATTAGAAATCATATTATTATTTTTTACTTTATTTGAAGGAAATTAGTCTTTCTCCTTCATTGAGCTGTCATTTTATTATCACAAGCAACTTCTCTTACAACTCTATCATTATCCAAGGCATGCTTTCCTTGTAAAACACAGTAACCTAACATTGTGTGTTATAAATGTTTATTGTTAAGTAACATTATGAAAAGAGGAATTGTTATTTAAAAAAACCCTTTAAGCCTTCCCTTGAATGAAGGTGAAGCTGATATACCATGTTGAGCTTGACCCTTAATTACCCTAAATCAAATATTTCTTAGTTTTCCAATTAAAAAATGTTTTAAATTTGAAAATAGTCATTTACAACCATGACTTTTAATTTAAATTTTAAAAATTTAAATAATGGTTTTAAATTAAAAGTAGTGAATTGCAGTCATGATCTAGCTGTGGTTTCATTTTAGTCATTTTTGAAGATGAATGTGGAGCTGAGATTATAAATGTAGAGAACTAATTTTCTAAACAAAGTTTCAGAAACTAAATATCTACATGTGTCTTGTCATTTAAAATTGTTATCTTGGGAAATTGTATGCTAATGCTAGTTGTGCAGTATCATCAAAAATTTGTGAAACTCCTTTCTTTTAGAATTTCCTTCATATGCCTTATATGAGGCCAAATAATATTTTCAGAGAGCCTTTATTATTATAATTGATTGTCTTTCCTATATCCCTCCACACTACTAACACAACCATTCCCATCAATTCTGTGCATGGCTTCTGCAAGAAGAAAGCCCATACTCCTTCTGTGTTCATTCCATTAGTCTCAGATCCCTAGAAGATTCAATAGCTTTGTGTTCAGTTTTTACCTTCTACATCATAGCCTTTTCCACATAGCTATTATTGCCATAAACATTAAACAGGCATAAAGAAATAAATTCCTTTATTTTTCTCACTTGCCTCTTACTATATGTGACTTCTGAGCCTTATTTACTGTTTTCTTTTTCAAGGAACTTTCAATATTGTCTCTCTACTTCTACACTATTACTGTTAATAATAGATATTTATTGGGCACTCTGTGCTAGGTAGCCACTTAAGCACTTTGCATATATAGATGCATGTAATACAAAAATTCTCTAAGTCATGTACTATTATCCCGATTTTACACAATTGGAATTTGAGGCACAAGGAAAATAACATGCCAAGGTCACACAAAGAACCAGGATTAATACCCAAGCACTCTGAACTATTAATACCATACATGAATAAGCTCAGATATCTCAAAGCTTTTCAGGAAGAGTTAGAAGTTGTAACAAGTGGGACTACTGTTACAATGCTGAAAATTTGATAAAAATGGTTTGCAAATTAAATGATTAAACAGTTAATCAAGCCTTCCATTGAGATTCTAATGTTTACTTAAAATTTTATATGGTCATGGTCACTCAGTAAATGCTTAGTTGTTATGTTTGTTTCAACTTCTATTTCAAGTGCCTCACAGTTTAATCTACCCTAGTTCAGACATTCTTATGGTATTACAGACTGAAATGGAATTATGTGAGGGTATGCGTTGTGGGGATTTGATGGACTCAAACCATGGTTTTTTGTTTTTTGATGAGGTGGAAAAAATGGAACTTCAAAACTGCTTTTATTTTTGGTAGCCTAGGTAGAGGCGAGTCAAAAGAGTATATATCTCTTGCAGAACAGCCTTTGATCTAGCCAGAGGAATTAAGAATAGCCTATTCTGTTTTTCTTATTTGTACTAATTAAACAGTACTCATCTCCTGGAACTTAAAAAGGAACAGTAAGGCTTATTATCTGTAGTGAAGAGGAAAGCAGCAGCAATCATTCCTCTATTCTTACATTCCTGGTTCCGGGCCATATTGTGTTATCCAAGGGCAAAGGTGTAATGAGTAAGACTTGCCTGAAAATTCTTTGTTTACCAGATCTCTTGTTTGGAGGATGTTAGAAGTGTAGAATTGGATCTCGACAGCATCAAAAATAAAAAAGTATACCAATGACAGAATTTCCACTTTGTGACCAATACTCAATCACTTTATAGTATTGATACACACACATATCCTTTCTCTGATTTTCATTATTTAAGTAATGTCTGCTCTTCATTAGATGCCATGTTTTGGAGAATTTTACAAACAGAAGATTGCTTTTTGTTGTCTTATGTATCAGTAAAGTCCTTGCAGAAAAATAGATGTTTAATCATCATTTACTAAATTACTCTATCGTACTTGTTGTTATTGTTTTTAGGTGCTGTTCAGTCGGTTCCAACTCACAGTGACCCTAGGTACAATAGAATGAAACATTGCCTGGTCCGCACTATCCTCACAATTGTTGCTATGTTTGACCCCATTATTGCAGCCACTGTGTCAGTCCATCTCACTGAGGGTCTTCCTCTTTTTTTTTTTTTTTTCAAAAAAGAATGAGAAAGTTTTATTTTAGGAGGTGCCCACCACCGGGGATCCGACAGCAACACAGGCTGTTTCTATGGAGTCCCAAAGGCATTTTTACATTAGAGTTTACATATGATTTTTACAAAGGTTATAAGTGTTGTTATACATTGTAAGGTAATTACAAGAGACTATCATACTAAAGAGATACAAGCCAGACATTTGCTTATCAGGCTAAAGATATACATATCCGACATCTGGGCTCTAATCTTCCTGTGGGGGGTTGTAAGCCACGGGTGGCCAGACAGCAAAACAAAGAAAAAAGAAAAAAACTTACAGGTTCATCATGGTGTTAGTTATGTCAAGTTCTCGGTTGCCCATTTTGAAAAGGAGAAAACATGCTGGGGAGTATTCGGGTCACATATTCCCCCCTTTTGAAGCTTGAGTGGCCATATACACCCATCCCAAGTTTCAGCCTACTCTCTTAGAAAGTTTCAAGCAAAAGGATTGGGCCTTTTGCTTGTGACGGGTTTGAGCCATTTGTTAGGCAGTCTGACTCGGGACAGAGAATGCCATCTCACGTATAGGCATAAATTGGAGACAGCAACAGATTAACAGGCCTATAACAACCAAACCAATTCTACTAATAAATAAGATTTTTAGCCAGGTAAGATCTGGCAGCCAGGAGGTCAGCCAAGAAAAATCAAATCCTTAATGAATCTTGTAACAGGCCCCAAACTATAAATATGAGAATATTTTAACTCTTTCTTTTTGTGTTTAAAAATGGTGAAATTTCTC